GGCCCAGGCGCAGGCCCCGGCCCAGGCCCAGGCCCAGGCCCAGGCCCAGGCTCAGGCTCAGGCTCAGGCTCAGGCTCATGCAGGAAGTGCCGGGCAGAGGCACCCGGGTGTCAGGCTCTCCGCAGGGCTGTCCCTGCTGCCACTTGCTTTCTGTTTCGTCCTGCAGCCCCCCGGGGGCAGGAGGCTGCAGGGGACACCCAGGGACCGTGCTCCGTACTGGAAAGCTCCCATCGCTGGGCCGTGGGTGGGCTGGGGTCCCTGCGAGCCCCCAGAGAGGGCGCCTGGCCTGGAGCTCCCTGCTGTGAGGATCCCAGTTCAGCTCCTGCTGGCTTTGGCTGCTGCCTCTTGGCACTCGTGCAGAGAGCCCCAGAGCACAGTGTGACCTGTCCCCATCCTCCTGTGGCCGCTTCTCCCGCCAGCAGGATTTGAGGGATGCCTGGGGGCTGCACAAACCTGTGGACGGGGTTTTGCAAGGGCGAGCAGCCCCTGGGCTCTCCCGCGCTGCCTTATCGCTCCCAGCCCCGCGGAACTGCCCAGCCTTATCTCGCCTGCCCTGCTGAGCCAGCACCTGGTGCCGCAGCGCCGTGGGCATCCCGCACCCTGGAGCTGGCCCCGCTCCAGGCCGGGGCGGTGCTGGCGGCTCCCAGCGGCTCCGGGTGCCAGCGGATGCAGCCTCCCAGTTTCCCCCATTGCTCGGGGTTCATGGAGAGGAGCTGAGCAGCCCGGCTGCACCCAGCGCTGCCGCGGTGCAGGATGTGGGATGTGCCCCCCAGGGCAGGCCCAGCTTCACCCCCAGCCCCAAACGCGCTGCTGGGGGGTGGGTTGTGGCTGTCCCTGTGGCAGAGCTGCTGGGGATGCTTCACAGCCCCTCCCTCCCCCACAGTTGTCCCCAGGGTCCCCCTTGGGAGCAGCTCAGGGCAAACGAGGCACCGGGGTGCAATGGGGGCCGGTGCCCCTCGCTGTGTTTCCCCTGCCAAAGAGCAACCAGCCTGGAGGCCGCAGGACTGGGGCAGGGCTGATCTCGGGGTGCCCACACCAGGTCTCGGGGTAGGGGCTGGTGGAGGGCTCGCTGGCAGGGACAGGGTGCTGGGGGGACGAGAGGAGATGGGGGACAAGGGATGGAGGCAGCAGGGTGTTCAGGGCACCCTCCTTCACCCCAACTCCTGCCTGCCG